GGATCTCCACCTATAGAAGAATGAAACTAAACCCTATCTTTCACCCTGCACAAAAGTCAACTCCAAGTAGATCAAAGGCTTCAATGTGAAGCCTGAAACTCTGAAACTGTTAGAAGAAAACATTGGCAAAAATCTACAAGATATAGGTGTAGGATTTGATAAAAATACAGGAAAATTATTGGAAAGTGAACCTTACATAAGGAGAAAAAGATCAATCAAACAGGAAGACAAAATAATCCTAAAGCTGTAAACATCAAACCAAAAACATCCTCAAATACCTTGAGCAAATACTGGTGCAATAATAACACAAATGCCAGGCGAGTAACCAATCACTCTCTAACTGGATTTAAGGTCTGCATCACATAGATGGAACAATACTTGATATTGATATCAGTCTTGGGGATCTATGGCTAGACATGTCACAGGTCCTATGAGAGAGCCTAGTACCATTATAGTGCTAAATGGACACAGGATTTTACTGACTCCTACTGAATTATTGTTAAACCCATAGATTAATGCATCTCTCAAGTCTCACCAGAAAAGCTTTCTTATGGAGCAGACAGTGGTTACCACTGAGAGGCACAACTGGTCAATGTGCAGGGAAGAGAATAAGAGACCACAAGGTGCTTAGCCCTAAAGAGAACACTTATATCAAACCTCTACCTCCAAAGACTCAGGAAGCTTTGTGGAAGAGAGGAGTGGAAAGATTGTAAGAGCAAGAACGTGTGGATGCCCACAAGGAAACAGATTTTTCCAGACAGCTGGGCAGTTACTCATATGAACTCAGAGTTACTATAACAGCAAGCAGCAGACCTACATAAGTTCATGCCAGACAAAGACCCAACACAAAGGTAGGGAAGTGGATAAGGAGCCTCAATCACAGCTGAGTAACTATTGCCATTTGGTACCTACTGGGACAGGGACAGGCAGAGCCTGTTTTCTTTGAGGGTGTAATTCTGGGTAGGTTAAGCAAGTTTCAGTGGATGGACCTACATCAAAGGGCATTGGAGCACCCAAATTGGAATAAAGATATATATATGAGGGTGTAGATAGGGGAAGAGATCTGAATGTGATCAAAATGTATTGTATGAAATTCTCTAAACTTCAGCAACATAGTTTTAAATGTATAAATATGAAAGAACAAATCAGTCAATCTAGATTACAACACTTAACACCTCTCTTTCAAAACTGGTGATAATACCATAATTCAGCACCAACACTGAACCAAGCATGATCTGAAGGACTTGGGCATAATCCCCAAGACACACCACAGCCCTCAGTCAAAGGTAAATTTCAACAGAATTTGAAATCTTGACATCACACATGTTATGTTCTTGGACAGTGACAGAGAAGCAGGAATCAGTGAACTAAACCTGTGCAAACTTAAAAAGTTACAATAGTCAGTTATGCTCTAATATTTTAGGGACAGATAGACCTTGCCATTTCAGCAAAATCTCATCCTGGTGGCTGCAGCAAGAGTTAATGCTAGGAAATGTTTTGAATCAACAACGTATACTATTTCTTGGAGAATTCTAGAGTGTTAGAAAAATACTTATGGTGCATTTCCTTATGAAACATTTGCCAATATGGAGACAGACAACATGACACCTTGTATAAGGACCTTGTTATGTGATCTCACCAGGGGTTGGCCATAAGGAAGACTAGACAGTTCTCTCAAAGTCCAGGGGAGTGTCACATAGATACATTTGTAATCCAATTGTTGCTACAAACATCAGATTATCTTCTATTATCCATTCTATTAAAACAGATACAGATTAGTACATAAAAAGTTACATAAAAGGGTACTCCAATTGCCTCACCCTGCGTCCCTGTTCAGCATGGAAGAAGCCAGAGCGGTCTGTGTCCCTATTTCCTATTGGCAATTTGGGTGACCTCTTCAGAGGATGGTGTGATACGAATAGGAGGTAGGAATTGGCTAGGCAGTTAGGGTAAAAAGACCCCAAAGATGGCCGGGCATGGTGACACAACCTTTAATCCCAGCACTTGGGAGGCAGAGGCAGGCAGATCTCTGTGAGTTCAAGACCAGCCTGGTCTCCATAGTGAATCCAAGACAGCTGGAGCTACAGGGAGACCCTGTCTCGAAAAGTCCCCCCACCCCACCCCCGAAAAAAGATCCTGAAGGAATGTAGCCAGTTTCTTGGCTAAAAGTCAAAATTTCCTTGGGCCTGTTAGCAACATACTCTGTTCCAAAGGCCAAAAATGTCAAAAGTATTTGGGAGCTTATATCTAATGCTTAGCCTGGTGTGGTGGCGCCCGCCTCTAATACCAGCACTCGGGAGGCAGAGGCAGGCAGAAATTCATGAATTCAAGGTCAGCCTGGTCTACATAGTGAGTTCAGGTCAGTTGGGACTACAGGGAGACCCTGTCTCAAAAAGACAGAAAAAAAAATTTAGGGTTACCTCTTCAGAGGGGGTAATGTTGGAGGGGAGGGAATGGACATGGATTTGATCAAAATACCTTATATGCATGTATTAAATTCTCAATAAAGTTTTTGTAAAAGTTAAAAAAATGTTACGATCAACCAATGTACTCTTAGATCAAAGAACAGACTCCTTCATTAAGAATTATATACTAGGGTCACCAAGACAAGAAGATAAACCGTTTCCCATATGAAGAGCTCTTCCAAAATGTGTCCCAAATCAAATACAATCATAAAAATATTGCAATATCTAGCCATCAATATTTATTCCACAATGCAAAAAGGCAGTGTCCAGCTGCTATCCAGATGTCAGACAGTGGACATTGCCCATTTCATGGAACTTGTTTATGTAAAGTTACTCAAGAAGAGTCCACATCATTTTCATATCTTAAACATGGAAATAAATATTAAATCAAAAATGTAAGACAGTAATGCTTATGTAGGCTATGGAGAGCAAATAAGGAATTGAGTCTTCTTAGAAGTAAACTTAGAAATGCTGACACAAAGACATAGCCATTCAGCAGATGTCTCAAAGGACCCTTCCAAAGACACATTCCAGTTTACATTTTAAATGTATTTGCACTGGAATCATAAAACAAAACAAGGTCTCACCACAAAAAAAAAAATGAGTATTCTTGGAAGTAAGGTGTAGCTCTCAAATCCTGAATTTATAAATAATATTTTCATATTGCAAGTTAGAGAAAATGAGAGTCTGGTCCTCAAGGATTGTGGCTTAAGTGTTTGTCTTTAGAATATCTTCTTTGAAGCCAAGGTTTCATCATAGGATAACAGTTATGGCTGTGTTATAGCGTGTTTGAGTGAATGAGGCCTGGATATAAGTTGGTCTTATAAAGTGCTGATGTAGTCAAAGTGAGAAAATAAAATAACTAACAAAGGGGTTCCTTGGAACCAAATGTGGCAAGATTTGTGCTGTGATCAAACCAGATTTTCTAAGGGAAATAATGAATGACAAAGTGGCAGATGTGATGATTTTGAGATTCTGGGATGCTTTAACAGGAAATAACAGGGTAGAAAATGAGCAGAGGTTCCTAGTGCACTCCCTGCTGTGGATGAACGACATCTCCTACAGGGGCAGCACACCAGGTCAAATAACATGGTGGTCAATGGCCTTCACGTCAGGCCTGAGGAACCAAAGCTAAAGGATGGGTTTCTGAGACCCTTAAAGAATGTGCCAAATAGACCCAAATTCATGGCTCTACCAAAATCGCTGGGGCCTATGGGCGACAGTACAAGAATATAGAGAGTCTCAGTGAACATGAAAAGGACTGTGCTTGTCCTGGAGGTAGACAGTTAAGAGAGAACACTGTGCACACGTCTCCCCTTAGAAAGGAACACTGAGTGTGCAGCAGGACACATGCCGCACGTCACATGAGGAGAGCTCAGTGCTCAGTTCTGAACTGTAAAATGACCTGGTGTTATGGAGAAAGAGGGACTCTGTGGGGTGGAGATGACTCACCCAGCCTGACACTGTTTCATAAACACTGTTGGGAAAGAAACATCTCCAGACTGTCGAGCCAGACAAGAGACTGTCAAAGTGGGCAGCCAGCTGGATTGGAAGTGGGTTTGGCAGCTATGAATGGATCCTGCTACCTCTTGGCCCAGAGCCAGGCCAAAGAATCACCACCTGAACCTGCTCCACCTAATCAGATTGGTGACCCCATGTTAGAGTCCCAGGATGAGCAGCAGAAACAGGTATAGACAATGATTGTGGAAGCCAGACGTGGTGGCACATACCTTTAGTCCCAGCACCTGGAAGACAGAGGCAGACAGATCTATGTGAATGTGAGGCCAGCTGGGTCCGCAGGGAAAACTGTCTCACAACAAAACAAATAAAAATATCAAGAATGACTGTGTATAACAGACAGGTAAAAGGCTTAGTGACTGTCATCCGCACTGTTCTAACTTTGTCCATAAGAGGAAAAAGTTGATACATGCCTGAGAAATTTTCATATTGCATTTATTACACTGTTGCTAACTTTTATGTAGTTCCCATGTAGACTCAGAAGCCAGATATCAATTTGCATTTTCTTATAGCAGGTACAGGAGGCCCACAAAGATCACAATGGACCTTTTAATAAATAAAATCCAATGCCTACATGTCCTAATCATTTGGAAAGACATCTATATGGATATTAAATATAACTGCTGAAGAATTTATGAGAAGGTGCATATATGTCTGGGAATGGCAGTCCTGATTGCCGTAAAGTTATCAAATAAAATTCCAGTACTAAGGGTAAATTTATATATATATATATGGTTTGAAAATAACAATTTCTTCATGAAACATGGTATCCATCTTTCACAGTGTAACAGAAATTACTTTTGGAGATCTTCAAAACAACTTGGACATGAGTCAAAACCTGGAAATAAACCAAAAATTGCAGACACAGATAGGTCTGTGAAAATGCAGTAAAACTGTTAATACTCCCCCAAAGAGAGACAGTCATGGACATTCATGAGGGAGTCTGCACAGGACTCCTTCCCGCCCACAGCTGTGCGTATGCTTGGGAGCTCTCTGCTAGAGTATATAGAAGCTGGGAATTTGCCTGCATGTGAGATCTTCTCAGAATCTGAGGACCTTCTCAGAGATGCAGCTGTCATCTGGCCAACCATGCTTCTGTAAGTACTCTCTTATCACTGGTCGGAACTCTTTCTTTATTACCATCTATGTGCTATTTGTGATGATTAGCTATCTATACATACCTCCCCAGAGGAACTAGCAGGGTTTCCAAGAATGTCCTAGAAAGCAACAGCACGTGGGCACTGTAGCCTTGTGGGTCAATGGGTATCCAAACAGGGGAACTTTCCTCCTGAAGACAAGAGCCAGTGTCCAGAGAGATTTTGGGTCGTCTTCATTGACCTGAGGGAAAAGCAAGACTCGTTACTGGCATCCAATCAGAAACAAAGATGTTGTTGGACATCTTCCAGTGCACAGGAGATCCCATCAACAGGGATTTCTAACCTAAAATGACATTGTTGCTGATCTGGGAGCAAAGGAGCAACATGCTCTCTGTCTCAACCATAGACAGAAGAAAGTAGTTTTGTTTTCTGGGTTTCATGTATTGTATGTCCGCTTGAGAAACCCTGAGGGCTCTTTCAGTCCCAAATTCAAAACCAACGACACCGTGTTTGTTATATATATGCTTTCTGATTTTGTGTAAGCCAGATACACGTCAAAAAGAAAAGAAGGCCTCAGTGAAAGAGCCTTCCTTCCTGTGTAGGCAGCAGTGGAGAGAATAGTGAGTTAGTAACAGCCGTGACATTTATTTTATGAAGTGGAATATGAAGATGTTTTTGTATTTACCTCTTTTTAGAATGTTTAACTCCTTTAGATGATAAAGGAGGTGATACATGCATATAAATATATATTGAATATCATCAGTTATAGAAGCATAGCATTATGAAAAGATAGAATTCCATAATATGATATGATTTAATTTTGCAGCTAATGTGTTGACTGTATTTTATACTATATAATTTTTGGAATACTTAATTTTGAGAATTTTTTTTGTTATTTTTCCAGGCACAACTATTTAGATGTATCTTAGTTCTGTATTAGACATTTCCAATAGCATTTATAAAAATTTTATATTACTTATGTTCCAGAAACATCTTCATTTCTAAATTACTTTAGCTGTAGTGTCACGGAAATTAAAAGGTGAGTTTTATTTGGTCTCCAACTGAGGTTTGTATCATGTCGAATAAATTACTGGTATTAGACATCTGCCTCTGTCCATCTGCTAAAACATCAAAATGAGGATGAAACCAGCACTGATCACTGTCAAAATTTTAAGATTAGTGTTTTACAGATCAGAAAATTTACATAGAATCAAACCTGGCTCTTCTAATATCTGTAATGGAAGGTGAATTTTTCCCTTTACAAGTAATGTAAAAAATTCTGCTAACACTGGGCTTGGAGACTCTGAAAGTCATGCTGGCCTCTCATCTGCACATGGATTGCTCCCGTGTGTATAAGATGTGTTAAAGAAGGGTGCAAAGTCCATGGTGTAGACATTCTGCTTCCCCCACCAGGTAGCAACAGGTCTAAGGAAAGCATTTACTCAAGCAAACATTGTCTTTCATCAGACAGTTTGAGAGCTATCATGAAGGAAAATCAACTCACAGGATTATTGTTAGGCTCAATTTTGCAGAAATATAATAGGTAGCTTTTGTTACAATGACAGGTGGCATGGCATTTTTAACTTGATGACACAATTCTCCACAAACAGTGTATAAATAGCCAAGCAGTCGGCATTTATCCATATCAAGCACGAAGCAAGAGGGACTGTGCTGTTCTTAACCTATCGGTTAAGCGTCTGTCAATTGACCAATAAACTTAGGATAAACTCGTAAGATATAAGATCACCTGAAGGCATGACAAGAAAACACTTGCTCAAAATGAAGCAAAGTTCTAGATGTGTGTAATGCTCAGAAGGAATCTGGGGACACTCAAACGATGAGGAGAGTTACCTACTTATCAACTATAAATTACTACAAATGTGAATATTTGCCTAAATTATCACAGCCAGGTCCATGTTTCCAGATGGCCAGATTCACAGAACCAATTCATGCAGCCAAGGACACACGGGAGATGAGGTGTCCTTAGAGTGGATGAGGCTTGATAGCCTCAATGGGCATGCCCTCCCTGAGAGACTCCTCTTTGTATGTAGCAGGGGCACTCCTACTGCTGCTGTCAACCCTCTGGCTGTGGAAGAATGTCACCTCTGCTCCTGAGTGTCACAGCAAAGATGCAAGCTGTGAGGTTTCTCTTCAGGAACTGTTTGACAGTGCTATCAGCCAGTCTAAAAAGATCCGTGACCTTTCTACTACAATGTGGTACATATTTGTAAGTATCTTGCCTACTGCTGGCTTCTTCTTCAAAGGGTCCTTCATGGAATGATTGAACATTACCAGAGACCAAGCCAGTAAACACCACCATCCAGTTTTCAGGTCATACATCTGTCTTCATAGGTAAGAGAAGCACCATATACCTGTCAGCAGAACATAAAGAAAATGACAGTCTCAAGAAATCAGATTTCACAGGAATTCAATGATCTTTCAATTGTTTCTGAAATTGACTTTGTTATTTAAAAGAACTTTAAAATTTTTACACTTGGGACATAAAACCTTAAAATAAATGGTGGGGGAGGAAATCTTATTTTCTGTTCCGTAGTACATGTTCAGTCTCTACTGCCTTTATTATATAATTATGTATTATATTCATTGCTCTATAATTCATATAGTGAATTATAGTTATCACTGTCGATAATGCCATTGTAGTGACCTCATGGAACAAACAGAAGACACAAACTCCAGTGATGTCGGGGGTGGGGGAGTCGCCAATTATTAGTTTGGTCAAAAGCCTCACATGGTAAGAATCTTTGTTTAAAGATTTCTAGTGCAATAATTCATTCAACAGAAGGCTGTTTTGAACATAAGGGAACAGGGGCTTTCAGGCCCCAAGGAACTTGTTCATATGAACTTGCAACAATGGTGACAGCATGCACAAGATTCATGCTGAATCAATCAGAGAAAAACCCAGCATAGAACTAGGAAATGGTCAGCAGGCCCCAACCCTAGCTGAGGAACTATGGCAACTGATTACTGCTGAGTGAGGGAGAGCAGATATTCTTCAAGGAAGTGACTCTAGGCTCCAGAGGATGAACTTGTACCAAGGGACATCTGAATGCAAATGCTTGACCAGATGGGACTTAATATGTGACAGAATGCATGAAATTTGGTGGGGGAACTGTGGAGCTCATAGATGGTAGACGTGATCTAAATTTAATTAAGATATGTTATATGAAAGGCACAGGAACTCAATAAAATATTTTTAAAAGAAATGGAACAGTTTTTCTCTAGCTGATGTCCGTATGCTGTCTATTCAGTCAGTGTTGCAAGATCAGTCAGTGTTAAGGAAGAAAAGGCAGTGAAGTTTTCTGTACAATCATGGGCAATAAGCAAATGAGTCTCTACATTTGAAAAAAAAGAAAAGAAAGAAAAAACTATGCTGCTTTTTACTTATGAGCCATTTTTTCATTCTTCTCATCTTCTCTCAGTTGACCAGGAGCTACAATTCACAAAGATTCCAAGAAAGGGTAAGTACCTTACGTCCTCCGAAGGGACCCTCATGTCAGTGATCATACTGTGACCTAGACACTAAACGTCGTGCTGTACATTCCACTCGTTAGCTTTCTGTTCATTTCCCATTATTGGCTAATAATCATAATAACCCATTAAACTTTCACAATCTTTCTAATTGTTAGTTTCAAATAATAGATATTTTAATTAATGCACTTAGGGAACTAGAATATTGAAATAAGTATACAAAGATTGATAATAAAACATTAGTTACTACTTTCTCTTTGTAATTGCTTTTATTGTTTAATATTGCCTTTAAATTGCCCAATTTAAAAAAATTGTTATTCATTATCTTTAGCTAATACTTTTTCCTAGAAGACTTTTTCTATAACAACCTATTAGCATAGATAAATGTATAAAATTTTTATTATACTCATGACCCACCACAAGCAACAAAAGTATTCATGACTCATCTGGAGACACAGAGATGTCATCTGGAGATGACAACACTTTGTGGACTCACAGCAGTAGAAATCTGTTCTCAAACAGGAATTTTCTCTCTCTCGTATGGTTAGTTTTCTTCACAAATGTACCATGATTTCCATGACTAAATAAAATGCCTCCCGTGTAAGCAAGATCAGGTAGCTGAGAGTGTCTCCTACCCAGTGACTTGCTTACTCTGCAGCGCTACACTTTCTAAATGTTTCATGACCTCACGACATTACCACCAACGGGGGACCAAGTGTTCAAATCCTTAAGTTGTGGGGAACATCTGTTTAGGGCTGACCACTGGTGGTAGGTAAATGATCTAAACGATTCCCCCTCAGTCAGATGCCACTGAATGCCTACAACTCTTCAACTCGAGGTTGGATCTTGTCAATTTTCCGCCATCCATGTTGGCATATCAACTGGTGCTGTCTTTAGCTAGGCACTGATTGTTTGGGCAGACATTGTTGAGATCACATGGTTATGGTGTCCCTGTCTTTTTGGAAGACCATAAGTATCAGCAGGAATCCTGGTCCTCTGACTTTCACAATCTTTTTTGTCACCTCTACAATCTGTGAAGATTCCTGAGACTGAGGTGTAGAGGTTGTATTGAAGATGTATCAGTCTAGGCTGGGCAGGCGCCATGTATCACAGTTACTCCTATTTCAGTGTATGTCCTACGGTTCTTGTGAAGAAAGAATCTTATTGGCACAGTCACATACTATCACTGCCATTCCTTTAAAAGACAAGGTCCATGTTGTAGTACATTAGTAGAATTCTTCGATTAACCTTCTCCAATTTCAGGGTTTTTTAGATTAACTTAATTCTTTTCTTTATGTTTGAGAATCACACATTTATTAAATGAAACATTTACCATATCTTCACCATATTTCTACCTTTCAACGCTCTCCCTATGCCTCCAGAACATTCCCATCCCAGTTTCATGTCTTTTTGTTTGTTGTTTTCGTTTTTATAATCCACCAAATGCCAGTTACTGCTGCCCATGTGGATGTACATGGAAAACCTTCCACAGGTAACATCCTCAGAAAGCAGTGGCTCTCCCTCTCCCAGCAACTATCAGCTGTCAGCACCTCCTCTTTAGGTGTTGGGCCTAGAGACCATCTTCCTGTCCATGCTGGGTTTTGGCTAGCTTGATCTTTTGCAGGTTCTTTTTTTGTAGCTGCTGTAAGTTCAAGTTCATGAGTGTTATAAAAATGGCCAGTATTTCATGAAAAATTTTGTCATAAGCAACATAGCATCATTCTGAATCTACGATGAACTTCGCATAGCACATTGCATTCCGTGGTAATTGAAAACCAAGGTGTAATTCTATGATACCAAGGTCAGGGGATGCATCCATTTGGACCAAAGCAAAATCAAGAGATTAATAAACTCAGAAACACTTGTATTATGGCATTGGGATCAGATATTAGGGAACGGTCATCTAAAATGTAACACTTAGCCATTAGCAATTTTGTTCTTTTTAATGTTTTCTTACAAATAAATTTTAGAAAAGGTAAAAAAAAAAAAGACACAAGAGGGAAGAGTTAGAAAATTAGAAAATAGGATGAAAAACTGAAAAAGAGAGTGCTGGTGGAACCAAAGTAGGTCAAGTTCACATTCCTAACTCCTTAATTTCAGTTTTTATATGGTGCTTATTTAGAAAATATACACATCTGATGAATAAGCTATTGGTCTGTTCACAGATTTATGTGCTCAAGTCCTAACCTCAAACTAACTGGGCTTCTTCGTCCTTGACAGACGACAAAGGCCATGAACGACTGCCATGGTTCTTTCCTTGAGAATCCAGACACTGAGAAGGAGGTCAAAGAGATTCAAGTGAGTACCCAACCTAGATGTCTCCAAAACAGCGGAAGCACGGTTTGCCAAGATGCAGGTTCTTCCATGACCATTACAGGGGTGGCATCACCCATGCAACGGAAAGAGGAAGAGTGGGTAATCAAATGTCATCACAGTCTGTAGTTGAGACTTACAGGTAAAGTTTTACGTGATACCATCTCTGCACCTTTAATTGTCCATTACGTAAGAAACATTGAACTGAATCACTCATAGTTAAATATGCATGAATGTATATGTGTAAGAAATTCAACTAGCATTTTATTTATTTTAAAGGTCTTTACATTTTATTTTATGTGCGTGTTTTGCCTACATGTATGCATATGTGCCCTGAGCGTGCCTGGTGCTTGCAGAGGCCAGAACAGGGTGTTGGAAAACCTGGAGCTGGAGATACACTCAGTTGTGATCCAAAATACGGGTGCTGAGAACGGACCTGGGTCCTCTGAGAGATCAGCAGGTGCTCCTGACCTCCTAGCCACCTCTGCAACCCTGGCTATATTTATTTCATACACTGACTGGCTGCTGTGCTGGAGGCATTTACAGTACTAGGCACTAGACCAACCCTCCTTGACTTGCAAGACTGTCACGGTCTACTTCTTGCTTATATGATCTCTGCCTTCTCATTGGTCTTACCTGAAAACACTTGAACAAAACAGTGCTGTGAAATACTATGTTTTATTTCTCAGGAAGCCCTCATCCCTTGGATCTGAAAAGAAGGTTTCACTATCCAGGCTACTCTAAAGTGAAACTGCTGTCATCTCTCCCTTCCGATTCCTCAACACAGCAGTTCTTAGGACAAAGAGGTGGAAGGAGGGAGAACATTTCTTAAAAGCTACCACACAGAGAGGAATTTCACAAAGCAATGCCTTGGCATTGGTACATTTGGTCCTCACAAGATCTAGCTGAGATAAGGAGCTGAGGTTTGCAAGGTTATGTGGCATCAGTACACCTTGCCTGCTGATGTTGAGTGTGAGCCTCGTCTGATTCCAGCCTTTGCTCTTCATCATGTGGCCATAGGCATGCATCATCTGGCTGCCACCATTTGACCACTTCCTTCAATCATCTTCTATACTCCTCATTTCCTATTGCAAGGCCCATTCAATTCCTGTCTTTCTGTCATTTACATTATCACCAGAGTAGCCAATGGACATCAACATAGTAATTAAAGTTAAGTTGGAGATGGGTTTCATGTATGATCCAGGAGGGTCATACTAGAAGGTCAAAACGTGTAATTTCCATCCATGCATTCTGGTGCCACTGTTCTTCAACTGTACAGGTCACTAAACGGTGAGCTTGGCTAGAATAACTGGGCAGGAAGTCATGTAGACTGAGGGAATCATATTCACAAATGTCTTTCTGTTTTCATTGTATCTTTGTTTAATATCATGAAATAACCTAAAAGTCAGAAGTGAATATATCACCAGATGGCGTGATTATCTATGTGCTTGTATCATTGTGTGGTAATGACTTGGACCACATTCCACTGTGAGTTTTGGCATCTAATTTATATGAGTCTATTTATTTATAATTTATCTAGGTTCATGTTGCCTATTGAGCCCCAGTAAAACCTTGATTCCTCACTGACAAGGAAACAATCAAATAGAAAAGGTCTCACCAGGAGGGCAGATGGTATAATTCTGACAGAAAACAAATCATGATTAATTGGATCTCTCATCACAAAACTAGTTATTTATATAAGTCATCCCTTGTGTTATTTTAGCAGACCCTAGTAGACCAATGACTTAAATTTAACATTTTACAGTATTTACCATCTATACAAACTGTGTCCCATACCCCCCACTATAAACAAATGGATATTTTATTTCATTTCCTTTATAAAAGGCAACTAACCATGGTGTATTTAAGCTGTTTTAATGTTATGTTAATTTGTTTCTTAGTCTGATGTTCTACTGAATGTGACACTTAGAATGGTTGGTGCCTGGAACACTGCTCTTCAGCATTTAACAAAGGAAATGGGTGGTGTGCTAAGTATCCCGCCTGCTCTTAGTATCTTCTCATTGGCCAAAGAAATTCAGGAAAAAAACCAAGAACTTCTAGATGACATTTATAGGATACAGAGGAAGGTGAGCATTGTCCTTACATTTCTCCTTCATAAAATTCCTGTTTTGTTAATGAGAAAGGAATGTTTAAATAACTCACTTTTTATATATTTGGTGTATTATTTTTATTTTACGGGTATTTGTGTCTCACCTACATCTCTGTAAGTGTACCTGTGTCCTGCAGTGCCCATAGAGGTCAGAAGAGAGCATTCCATCCACTGAAAGTGGATTTAAACATGGTTGTCAGCTGCCATGTCGGTGCTGGGAACCTAACCTGGGTCCTTTGCAAGAGCATCCAGTGCTCTTAACCATTGAGCAATCTCTCCAGCCTGAAATAACTCACTTTGTAAGAGTGAAATTTATGCCGCTGATCTTAACATCCTAGCCACTCAAGGGTGGCTGTTAGAGCCAACCTCCTCAAGATTATTTTGGCCAATGCCTTGCCCACCACAGATCGGACTTTAAAACATCTATTTCTCATACTAACAAAGTGAAAGACAACGGACTGTTTCAGTGGATTTTCATCACAGACATCCATGAGCTATCTGCATCTTAAAGTGTCAGCTCTGATCCCCATGTGGCCAAGGTAGAAGTATATTAACTACATGAAGAGTGCTTTTGGTTGAAAAGATAGAAGGATAACAGTGCACTATCGGAATCTTTACATTACAAAGGGAACAGCTGGTACAGTGCTGGGGACATCCCCCCTCCTTTAGACAGAGTTGACACCAGCAACTCCGTTGTCCCTTGTCCAAATCTATATCTATCATCAAGTAGCTACTTCCTGGATATCTCTCTGAGTTCTCCTTTCAGCTTTGGTTACTAAGTTTTTAGATGCCTAACAGATTTACATGTCCCTGGTGCCAATACATGAAATAAATTGCCTGGCTAAAATCTTGAATTCCCAACACCCCTCCCCCCAAATCTAAATTAACATTTAGAAAGATCAAGGAGAAAGAAACACTAACAATGTAAATAATAGTAAGAGACTCTCATTTTGATTATTAGGTTTATCCTGGATTTCAAGAAGATAAGAACTATCCTGTCTGGTCGGAACTTGCATCCTTGCAGTCGACAGAAGAAAACTCACGTTTTCTTGCTGCTTATAATCTGGTGGAATGCCTTTATTTTGATATGTATGACATTAAGGATAATCTCAATCTCTTGAGATGCTTGATCATCCCGAATAATAACTGCTAAGCGGACGACCATCTATAAACTTCTGACTTGGTTCTCGATGATCCACTCTTTGTAGGTTCTTTATTCTTTATACATTTTAGGTATGTTCTTGACTGTAATGACTTTCTTCTAAAAATAAATAAATGATCTTTATAAATGTCAAAATATGAAAAAGGTAAGGTATCAAATTTCTCTTGCCCATTTAAGAGAATTCCTATTGTTGTGGAAAAATTTGTCAAACAGCTAAGAAATCAAGCATATCACCCAGGAGAGTTGGAGAACTTGCTTATTTTTCACAAGCATGTGGTCCCAGAAGGAGCTACAAAGGGTTCAAGATATTTTAGGCCTAAGCAAAGCACAAATGAAATTATATAGAACTGTCCACATCATCATTTGATGGTTGCCACTTGGGCCCTATGGCTCTTTACATTGATATGCCATGTTATCTCAGGAAAATCCCTTCATGTGTTCACCTGGTCATCACAGTTTTAAAAAGTAGATATCTTAGTCATGGATCAGAACATCTAGACCTAGGTCTTCCTAATTGAGCAAGAGCTGCTCAAAGAGTCATTGCAGTTTACAAAACACATATCATGCAGAAGTTTACACATTTGTTGTGTTTGATCTAAACTTTTGGCTGAATAATTGGACCACAGGTCTTATTAGACCATTTGATGAGCTATTTTCTTAGTTGTACATCTTTAACAGTAGTTAGAAATGGTTAGCTGAAAAACATCACATAGCTTCAAGATATTACAGAGTATTAAAACATATCAGGGTAATTAAGACATCACAGAGTAATAAAACATCACTGAGTCATAAAAGATCACAGGGCTGCATTTGAAGATATCTACCTAGTAAGTAAAGCAAGGAACTTTACAAAATAGTCTAAGTTTAGAAGGAGAATATATAATACAGTTTGTTTATAAGACTATAACATCTTATCTTTATAAATATCATTGTCACATTCCTATCAAATTTGCCACAAATAAAAATTCATATGGAAGCACAAAAGACCTTGGACAGCCAAAACAACCTTGAGCACTAAGAGCAATGCCAGGGGAATTACTATACCAGATTTTAAGCTGTATTAAAGAGCTATAGTCATAAAAACAACATGGAACTGGCAGAAAAATAGACCTTTAGATCAATGGAACAAAATTGAAGACCAAAATATGAGTACATGCAATTTCAGCAAATGGTACTGACAAACTGGATCTCCACCTGTAGAAGAATGAAACTAAACCCCTATCTTTCACCCTGTACAAAAGTCAATTTCAAATGGATCAAAGGCCTCAATGTAAAGCCTGAAACTCTGAAACTGTTAGAAGAAAACATTGGGAAAATCCTACAAGATATAGGTTAGGAAAGGATTTCCTAAACTGGGCATCAATTGCTCAGGGAACAAGAGCAAGAATCAATAAATGGGACCTCAACCTCATTAAACTAAAAAGCTTCTGTACATCAAAGGAGGCAACCAGGGAAGCAAACAGAAAACCCACAGAATGGGAGAAAATATTCACTAGAAACACATCTGACAGAGGTTTAAAAACCAGGATATACAGCCAACTCAAAAAACAGAGAATCAAGACAAGAAGTATCCCAATTAAAAGATGGACTAAGGAGCTGAACAGAGAGTTCTCAAAAGAAGAAATAAAGATGGCTATGAAACATCTTAAAATACGTTCAA